TTTTTTATTTTTTATTTGTTGATTAATAAACTTGTCGAAATTAGCTCACATAATTCCATGCAAGTTTCATATCGATTTTCTCGCCAATTAGTCAATTATTAACTGAGATGTCACTACATCGGATATGTCTCACGTACATCATTAATAAGATCTATAGAAACATAGATATTCATATTATAAATGCTATTGATAAGATAATCTCACTAAATTATTACCGTCTTCACATAAAATAAGTTATTATTTTTTTTTATATGATAAAATTATTTAAAATGATTTATTATATTTAATTATGTTATTTACAAAAAAACTTGTTAAAAATTCGAACGCATTGGAAAATTATTAAAGTAACCAAATATTTGTGTTGTACTGAAAATATTCTGATTTCCAATACGACCACAAAATCTGAATAAGCAAATGAGATGTATAATGTCAATTAACTCGATATAATAAAATTAAGAGTATGCAAATTGACTATAATATTTTGTGCAAATAAATTTACATTAAATCTTTCTAACCAATAAATTCTTCATTCTCACGGTAAATATTCCAATAAACTGTTTCCAATAAGTTTGAAAATAGTCCAATATCAACGTGTCTTTTTAATAGACGTAAAAGAGATTTATTTGGCGAGAAATATATAGTACTGTATGAACAAATAACAATTTTTTACAAGATGGAAATATTAGTTCTATGAACTTTCCGTTAAAAGCGAATGAAAGAAATATTGCCCATAATACGTCAGAGAAAAGACCATTGTTTGTTATCTTTTCAACTGTTTTTAGCTAGAGATAAAAATATTGATTTTAAAATACCGTCGAGGCGACTAAATAGCTGAGAATATGAGCTTATTGCACGGTTATTGGATAAAAATGAGTCGGAACTCGATCGAAAGAAAAATCCTGAGAACTGCTGTAAGATAGAACTGCGTGGCGTAATGTAGTATTCGTTATAAAAGAGGCTTTTTATCCTGAGAAATTGAAATCTCTGAAACTAGATCTTATTTAGTCATTATTGCCAATATTAGATATCTATATTCTTTTTTTCTCATTTTTTGATATAATGTTAATTTACTAAATACAGTTTTTACTGTAACAAAGACATAAATTAAGAATTAGATAATTCTAAGAATTAGGAACGTTTTATTTTAATAATTGAAAATAATATTAAATTTATTGACAAAGAATATTTTGTATTATGTAAGAATCTTACTGGATATATTATTTGTATTTATAGCAAAGTGAATATATGTAAAAAAAAGTCACTGTGTAAGTACAGCTATAGAAATCACTTTGCGTATACGATCTTGCGTTTATCAAAATTTTCTCAACTTGATTAAAACGTACCGTTTGCTGTTCCTCACGATGCTCTACTAAATTGTTTCATTCTTCAATGGTACGGTTTGATACCGATTCGTACAGTTGATTTTGTACGATCCGGTACGGTGTTCGCAAGCATCCGACACGAGATGTATTGAAGCGGCTTAAAGAGACACTCAGCCGCAGGTACCACTGCACGAAGGATACCTTCGAGTTCTCCCTCGTGTTTTTCCCTCTTCCACACAATCAAACGCACACGCACACACCACCATCCAGCCTCGTCCCTTCAGGAAATGGTACCGTACCAGAGGCACAAGGTTGCACCGCCCTCGGTACCAGGTCTCTTTGAGGCTTTAGTGCCGCAACTTTCTTTCCACGCCGTTGGAGTCACATACATGCCACAGATGATATCAGGATCGACGTCGACTTGAAATAATCTTTTGCGACGACATTAGCAAGGGGCGCGAATCTTCTCTCGAACTGTGTCTCGAGGACATTTATATTCCGCGAGTGACGTCAACGGTACGCGATAATTTTCTTTGCCAAAGTTTGCGCGTGTCGCAAACGTAATCTCTCGTAATGCGTAACTCAAACAGAAGTACGACGACGTCTCGTCCGGCTCTACTGAACGCATGCCGGGATTCCTCCTGGAGACGGTTAAGTCAACAGATTCGAGCCTTGCGATCGACCGACTCCGCCGTCCTCGCGGGTATCCATATCCCCGCAATCTCTCCTCATGCCACCCTTTTTTTCGATCTCTCTTTGATCTCAGGACGCTCTTCTTCTAGTTTTCCGTCGAGTTCGTCGGACTCGCGGTATTAGAATCATGCTTCCATTCTCCACGTGTTTGTTGGTCTCCGTTTATTACTCTTCTTCCTTGGACATTTGGCAAGTGATTTGAACAAGTCCTAAGATCAGCTCCTGGACACATCTTTTGTCGGGGACAAATATATGTCTCTCATGCTTTGGATGTCAGTTACGAATCTTTTACGAGTGTTTGCAGCAAAATATCAATACTCCTGGCAATGGAACGAGCAAAACTGAAAGAGAGATCGAAGCTGAAAGCAGAATCTCGCCGTTTGATCGCGTTCAATACTTGTCACTTCGAAATCACTTTATAGTTCACGCCGTCTTGCAACATTCTATTTTCACTCTAATATTTTTTATTTTACGTCATTATCCTTGTTTTCGAAAACAAGAGAAAATGCCAGAATGAACGTCACGATAATTTTTATCTATTAAAAGATTCATTGGTCATTTTCATTGCTCATTTATTTAATATTTTATTATTGAGAGGAAAGGAAATCGTAGAGAAAATAAAAAAAAAGTAATATAATATATTAGGAATGAAGAAATGAGAAAATAAGAAAAGAAAAGATAAGTACGTGCCTATTGGTTTCACCATTTCCGAAGAATGTTTCATTATTCGATAGCATTAAAGAGTACTCTAAGGAATCTCTCTTCGAGCTCGGAAATTTCTAATAAATTCTCTAGTTTTCTTCTATTTATTAGAATAATTTTGCAAGCTATGGTCCACGAATTACTGATGCGTTTACATATCGACGTGCGCGAAACGCTGAAACGAAACATGTATTTTTGGAAGCGCCTGCTATGCAGGGCAATGCTTGCAGAACTCTGCACAATGGAATACTTAAGTGTGAGTCACCACATAGCATCTCATAAAAATATCATAGCTATTCAAATTCCTATTACTTTTTCTTCAACAACAGCATATCTTGGATACCTCATATTTCCGTTCGCAAAATATATCTAGCGATTAGTTCACTTATCTGTAAGATAAACAACTTTTAATAAAGTAAATAGCATAATTAGTTAAATGTATCAACAATAAATATTTGCTTACATATTATATATATATATATATATATATATATATATATATTATTTTTTTATGTAACGCGTTCTTCGAATAAAGAATGTAATTATTTCTTAGAGATTATTAGAGATAAATTTATCTTTTTACTTTAGATTCGTAATAACAGCAAAATTAGAATCAAGTTGAGTTCTCATTTGTAACAAAAATATGCGGACATTCTTCTGCGGTGTGAAAATTTACGCTTCGACATCGGGTCAGAAAAGCTGATGAAAGCAACTGTCACAGTTTCTGCATAACGAACAGCTGGCGAAACCTTTCTATCAGTTCCGCCTGTCGGATTGAAAATAAACCATATATATCCACACGTATTTCGACGGATGAAAAAAGGGGTGTCCGAAAGCGAAAAAAATTGGCAGTATATAAAGACGCAAATATCTAGTTAGATTGTTTTACAATGCAGCTATTTGTACGGATTATCGCGACGTCTATATGCTACGGATTTGTGAGGTGGTTATGCACTCACGTGTATACAAATAAATACAAATAGTACAGTAAAACGATGAAGAAAGTAAAATATACATGCTTAAAAAAAAGAGAAAATAATATAAAATTTTCTTTGTAAGATTTCCATAAAATCTTTCATTTTTATATATACGTAAAAGAAAACTTGTTTAAAGTATTCTTAATAATTCGTTATAGCATTTATTGAAAGGAAAAGAGTAAAGACATTGTTCATAACTTTCATTCTTTTTTTCTCTTGTTTTCTATCTTAATATTAGTAATTTATATTCATTTAAGTCAACTCGTATTTCTTTTCTTTTCTTTGCCTTTTTATATCTTCCTTGACCATTACTGTTCGCAGATTCCGTGATCAATGTTCTGTCATGGATACTCTCTTCCAGATCATGTGAAGAAGTGAGTAGACTCTGATTTTCTGTTTTCTCGTTCGATATTCTTCGCCATGTTGCTTCCTTTTCGATGATATCCGTAATCTTCGCGGTTTTTGTAAGATGCTCTGCATAACTTTATTTTCAATTTCAAAAAACTTTTTACAAAATAAGATTATTAACATAGCACTTTACGAAATATTCGCACTTTGCTTCATATCTGAGAAGAAAACACAAACATGACATTTTCACTTGAAGTTTTTGATCTTCCAGACATGTTTCTTGCCGACGTCTCTCCCTCTTTCTCTCTCTTCCTCTTTTTTTCTCTCTCCTCTTTTTACATTTCTTCTTCACCTTTTTCTACCCTACTTTTATGCACACGTTCTCTTACTTTCAAATATCATTCCTGCTTTAAATCTTACTAATTTCTTTATTTTATTTTCTCATACCCCCCCTTACAACCCTTTATCAACCTTATCAACCTTTCGATTTATGCTCTCAATCTCATTTGCATCCATTGTAAGAACACACAGAAATCTTTTAGGATGTCTGATGTTTCCATTTGCTTCCTTTCTTCTACGATTATCACCACCCCCGCCGTCGCATCGCCCACAACCAATTTTATTTGCCGGTGGACGTGCCTGCCGCCCTCGCGGCGACGAGCGAGGCCGAGGTGGAGACAGACAGCAGAGGAGAGGAGAGGAGAGGAGAGGTGAGGTGAAGCAAAGCGAGAAAGGAACGCGCACACGCGTACCTACACTTACATATTCGACGAAAACAGAGAGGGAGAGAAAGAGAAAGAGATTCTATGTGTATGTATATGTGTGTGTGTGTGTGTGTGTGTATATATATATATATATATATATATATATATATATATATATATATA